ATTTTATATTGAATGTAAATTTTTTATAAAAGAAAAATAATATAAATAAAAATAATTATCTTAATAAACAAAACTTATATTGGGATAAAAATATGAAGAAGAATGTCAATAAACAATGAAAAACTAACAAAAAAATTTTATACTTTAAAAATTTTATTATTTTAAGACCAACCAAAATATCAATACAAAACCAACTAATTTTTTTTTTTTCAAAATATAATGACTCTGTTCATTCCGCTTTTTTAGATGAATTGATTTTTTATTTATGGTATGAGGAATTATGTCAAAATATAAAATATACTTCCTCCGTCATCTATCTATCTATCCATTTACTTTTTGCACGAAATTTTAGAAATATTTGTATTATATTAAGATATAGTAGAAATAAAAGTAAAATAACTAAAATGCCTTCAATATCTAATACGAACGGGCCGACAGACAACTGTAAAATAGAGCTCGTTCTCCGGTTCCTGCTTCGATTCCAAATCGAGAACGAAACCAAGGAGAACGACTGAAACAACAACTGACGGTGTAGACCTAGCCACCTCTTCAACAATTTTTTCGAAATCGAGCAGCGAATCAAAGAAGCCATGGGATTCAAAAACTAAGGAACTCCGATCACGATTTGAGGGACGTCCAACCCTTTGTAAGGGGAACGCCCTTCAGCCGGCGCCGAAGACCGAGGGGCAAGCGACATCGTCGGTATAACTTGACAAAAAATATAAAGAACGCCGATGAAAGAGTGAAGAAGGCGACTGCGCATGAGGAAGAAGAGGATTTCAAAAACTCTAAATCAATCTAGTGGTGGAGAACAATCGAGAGAGGGTGTTGGTAATAGGTGTTGTGCATTAAGTGTTAGTTTGATTTATTAATTAAAAATTGTATATTTAATTTTGTAAGTTGGTTGTAATTATTGTGGTAGTAATTTTGTAATATAATATAAGTTTAAGGGTAATTTTTATAGTAGGTAGGGATTAGGGTTACTTAAAAAAGAAATGAATATTTTTAAGAAGGGACGAGTGGAGTATTATTTTAAGTTGAATATTTTGACTTTTTGATTTTTTTTTAATCAGTATTTGAATTTTTCTTTGACTTTGACTTTTTAAAAATATATTTTGTATTTTTTATTATTTTTTTTAGGAATCGGAATTGAAAAATAGGATTTGGTGAATAAAGCTAATACTCCTTCCATCTCATTTCAAAGCATTATCTTTTATATTTGTTCCACCCAAGAGTATTTTTTCTAATATAGTAAAAGTATTTATATATAAATACCAAATTATTCTTATTTTTACACAAATTATAAAAATATTATTAAATTATTTGTACTTTTTAAGGATAAAAATGCAAATTATCTTATACACTTTCATTTATTAATAAAATACAACACTGTCTCAATTTAAAGTAAAATTTTTACAATTTTCGTTTATCCTATTTAAAAGTATTTCTTTTCTATTTTAGCAAAAATAATTATATATTAATACCATAATATTATTAATTTTTACTTAAATTACAAATATATATTTATACATACAATTACGAAAAAAATCATACACTAATACTATAATACCATTAATTTTTTACTTAAATTACTAACATATCATTACACATATAATAAAATACATAAAATCAATGGCAAAAATATCAAAATTTCTTAAATACTTTTTACAAACAATAAAATATTATTATTGAATTAAAACGGAGTAAGTAGTATTATTTTATAATCTACTATTAAAAAAAAACAAATAACCCATTGAAAATAAAAATTACTCCCTCCGTCCCACCAGAATTGAACCCTTTGATTAGGGACACGATATTTAAGGTGAGCATGTTTAATTAGTTAACAATAATTAATTATGATATTATTATATATTTTTTTTGTATAATTAATAAAATTTATATTTTTAAAGTAAATTTAATATATATAATTAAAAAAATTAAAATATATATTTAAATATTTAAAAATTATATAGCAATTAAAAAATATATGCAATATGAATATCATTTTGTAGAGAATAAAATTTTTTATAATACAAGTAACTAAACAAATATTTTTGTTTATTTATAATTAACATAAATTAATTTTATAAAAGATGTGTAGTTTTAAATATAGATAAAAAAATTTATTTTTTTGAGGAGAAATGGGTAGAAATAAATGTGTTTTGAGTGGATTCTACTCATTTATGATGTTATATTGTAACTAGTTAATTAAGTTGATTTATATTTGTTAAATATATTTTAATTTTATAATTTTTACCAAAAATAAAAATATGTCAATTATTACGGGCAGATAAAAATAAAAATAGTACTATTTATGATTAGAAGGAATATATATATATAATTACTTAAAAAAAAATATTACAATAGAAATCACAAGACAAACATACGGAAAAAAAACGTCAGGAAACAGTGAGTTCGGTGTTCAAAGTTCAAACCATGTTACGCAGGTCAACGTGCCACGTCAGATAGATGACGTCAGTCTTAACTGAGAAGTGAGCATTTCCACGTCAACTAAACTCACCCTTTTGTCTGTAGCGCCATGATGGCGATGAAGCTTCGAGATTGGACTCACGTGTTCCGGTGCACGTGCACCGACTCCACGGCACCACCGCCACGTCATATATATATAAATATTGTATTATAATATTAATTGCTGCTGGGAATTAGTCTTTCTTTGACTGTTCGATTTATAAATAATAATATTAATTATAATGTGAACTATGAAGCAGAAGCAGAGCGGACGACGGTACAGCGTAACGGCGCCACCGCCGCGCCGCGCCGCGCCGTCCGGCTGCTGTGGCGTGGCTTGGAGATGAAGCATAGTACACGTGGGTCCCGCTCGACCTCCACGTGTCGCACTGCCAGCCGACAGCCACCCCGCGTCAGACAGTTGCGTTAAACGACCACGATTATCAATCGTTAAGGCCATCACCCATGTTTCATATCTGGTGTTCCAATACCATTTTATTTATTTTTTTTTTTATTTTTTAAAATTATAAATTTAATTTTTAAATTTAATTTTTATTTTTTAAAATTTTTTAAATTTTATTTTAAATTATAAAAATAAAAAAAGGTGTTTAAAATAATAGGAAAAATTGAATATTTGAAAAATAATAGTAAAAAATGGAGTTATGATTTTAGTAAAATTACCGTAGCAACTGCATATTTGGAGTTAAAATTTAATAAATAGAAATGATGGGATGAAGATGAGCTAAGCCTGCAACAATATTCTTGGCATATGTTTGGATTTGAATTTTCGTCGGTCACGTATGATTCGATCTCTTTCTATTTTTGGTAAATTTATCAATTTTAAATATACTTAACAAATATAATCAATTTGATGAATTTTCTAACATATTATAAGTAGAACTCACTCAAAACCCTTTTATTTCTATCTTTTTCATCAATTAATAAATATTTTTATCTATTTTTAAAACTTCTCATTGTTTATAAAACTAATTTAGGATAACGATAAATAAATAGATATATTTTTTTAGTCATTTGTCTACAAAATTTTATTGTCTACAAAATAATATTCATATTGCATATATTTTATTGAGATATAATTCTAAAAGTATTTAAAATACCAACAATACTACACATATAAAAAATAATAAAATATTATCTTAACTTATTATTTATAAATCAATAACCTACTCTACCTAAAATACCGTGTTCCTAACAAAAGACTCCATCTTTCACGAGATGGAAGGAGTAATATATTCCCTCTATCGTACAAATGTATGCTAATTTGATTGAGCACGTTATTTTAATAAAAATGAATAATAATTGTTAATTTTTTCTTTTATAGTAAAAAAATACAAAAATATTATAATTTTTTACTTAAGGAAAAAAAAGTGAGTATAAATTTGTATGGTGGATGAAGTATAAAATACATATATACTACATTTGTTTCAATACAATAGTTTTTTAATATTTTTATCCGTTTTAAGATAATAATTTTATGTTCATAAATAATAATATAACTGTAAAAAATTAAAAAAATACATTTATAATTTTTATTATTATTACATGAATACAATTATCTTTTACACTATCAAGTGTCAATATAATATTACTAATCATGTTCAACACAACTAACACGAATGGAATATATGTTTAAAATGTATATAAATTATATAGTACGATTTTAATTTTAAATACAAATCAAATAAAGTTTTAATTCAAATTTTGTCATTAGCATCCGAAATTGCTATCCTACTAACAAGGCAAGTAGAATAAAATTTCGAAAGAGTTAAAAATTAAATTTTTGAATAAATTTGTAATATGATTTTTTATAAGTATCCTTAATCAATAGTACTATTAGCAATTTAAAACATATGTACATAAAATAAAGCCTAAATATAATAAGGGGGGTTGTCGAGTCACGCTACGTTTTGTCGACTGGCTTTAATATAATTTATAATAAATTAGATTAAACTATTTAAAAATTTACTCAATTTAAATTAATATATAGACTTTTTTTTTTTCTAATCATTAGATTAAAATTATTATTATTATATATAATACATTAATTAATTAATATTAATATTTCATAATCAATATATCACTTAGGTTAATCAGACCCATTTATTACCATTGAACCACATAATTAAATCAAAATATTTAACCCGTAAAGAATGGCCCGGTGGTATAGGAATTGGATTTGTGACCGTGAGGTCCCCGACTCCTCAGATCACCTGTCACACATAGTTTGGCAAGAGGCAGCAGGTTCCCACATCATAATTAAAAAAAAAAAAAAAAACCCAAATCTAATTATCCATGTCAGACTCTAAATGTGGCAAAGACTACATAAATTACCACTAAATATAAATAGAAAAAAATATCATTAGTCTTAGACATCTAATTATAAACTTCTTCCATCTCTAAATTTTGTAGTAGATTAAAAATATAGAGAAATTCCATTTAACCCATGTCATGCAAGCAAACTAACTAATATAGCAAATGAATTGACAAAACAAAAAAACGTACATATAGTTTTGAACCATCATCAATCAATCAGTTTCAATACCAATACCACCAATTCACACACCTAAGTTGAACCAAACATTCCATATCTTAAAACCCATTTTCACGTACTCAAAAATGCAAATAATACCACCACCCTTGACACCCCAACAAACTGTTAATCATCTATCCAACTCACAATCACTTCATCTCAAAATATGGAGAAGACAAGCAAATATGTTGACAATGCTAGTTTGAAATCATTTTCAGCCGTATAAAAAATATATGAGAGAGAGAGAGAGAGAGAGAGAGAGAGAGAGAGCTGGACCTTTAGCTTCATACCCCATTTCACAAAATTTTGATTCAGTTCTTAACAATTGCAAGAGTCGACGACGGATGGAAAAGTACGGTAATATACCCAGACATACACTAAGAGGCTATTTGTGAACACTTACCAGTTCAACATCGTACACGAGCCAGGAGCTGGGTGGAATGTCTCCCACTCTAGAATTTCCAAACCTGATCCAAAGATACAAATTTTTTTACTAAAAGCAGATTGGAGAAAAACTGCAGCTTAGAAAAATGGGGGATGGACATGGTGATTGGTTTCCAATGTTTGTTAATTTTGGAAATTTAAAATATATACCCCAAAGACGGTGGGATGATCAGCCTTCTCTTATCGCCAACATGCATACCTGAGATCATTTATGTTTCAGAAGGACGTTTATAAATGGCAATGAAGAGAATCGAGCACAGAGAAACTACTAGGAAGGATTAGTTTCAAAAAGCAATTACCATCGATGCCTACATTCCATCCATCAATATATTCCTTATCACCTACAAGCAGAAGAAATGACAGATGTAAATAAAACAATCAAGAGAAGATCCAATCAGAGAGGAATAAACTAGAGTCTGAGGGGATGAAACAAGAAACAAGTACACTATTATTGATTAAGCTGAAAATGGTACCTAACCGAAACTTGAATGGGCTTTTACCCACATTTGACTCAAAAACAAACGCATTCTCCTTCAACATGCCAGTGTAATAGATTTTGATCTGGTCGGAGGTTCATTATTCAGTATAAAAGAGGAAACTAATGGATTGATTGCTGTGGACAATTTATGGGAAAGGAACAAACCTTTTTACCAGTTGCAGCAACTTTTAAATCTGGCGGACCATTAGCCAACTCTTCGACAATCAACCCATCTGACAAGGTTCTCTTTTTAATAGGCACTGCATCTGTATTTTCATTACCAAATTTCGTGACCATGGTCTCTTCACCATCTGTTGTGACTAGCATATCTGTGCCCAGGTTCCCCTTGCCTTCAGCTTTCTTCTTCTGTTTCTTATTCTTCTTCTTCTCAGACCGTCTATCCTTAGCCTCAGGACATACGCCTGCATCACTGCAATAAAAAACTCCAGTAAAAAGCCCATAGCACTAGACTTAAAACTAGAAAATCAGAACTAACTACAGCTGACAAGTGACAAGAAACTCTATGGGTAGTGAGTGGGCAATAGCAGCCAGGTCTTACAGCATAGCCTTATAGGTGGTGAATGCCTGTGGTTTTAACTTTTGAGTGATTGCTTATCAATCAATGTTGTGATGATACCAAGGGCAATGAAAACCCAAAAACTGGCATATAAAACAAGGACTCACTTATCAATCTTTTGTTCTTGATATTGGTTGTTTGATGCTGGAGGATCCATCTCCATGTTGTCCTGCTGTAAACCTGGATCAGCCTCTTCCTTTTCAAGGATACTGTCATTAATTGAGTCAATTCCTTTTGTAGAGTTTTTCTTCACACGCAGATGTTCGCCACTTGTAGCTGGCAGATTCTCTGTGTTACTGTTGGAGTTTTGTAGCAAGGGACCAACAGTATCCTCCTTTGGAATATCGTGAAGCCTTCTGTCATTGTGTTCAGTTTGTTGTCCTTCTGGCTGCAATTCAGAAAATTTCTTCTTTACCCTGTGACCACTTGGAGAGCCTAATTCTAATAGCATCTCAGCACAATTTGCATCACTGTCCCTGTTAGAGCATGTGATATAATTTAAAGCTTATCCAGGCTCCAGATAAAAATTGTAAATGAAGTAGAATCTGCACAGAAACACTACCATTGTTCACAGATGAAGGGAAAACAAAAAAAACAAAAAAAAAGCAAAAAAGACTTACAAATTCATGGGGGCCTCATTGTCTTCCTCCTTATCCCCAAGGAGAACATTATTATCCGTGTTATTGACCTGAATTTCGTTGGGTTTCTCCTTCCTTGCAGAAAGTTTTCTTCTTTTCTTTTTTGGTTTTGTACTGACCCACATAATCCAGTAGGGCATTATAAAAACAAATATGACTGGTCAGACCATGCAATACGCATGCCAAATGCAGGAGATAAATACATAGAGCAAGATATCAACTACTTACGAATCTCGGAATTCCATCTTATCTTTTTCCTTAGCCAAGTTTTGGTCCAATACGCTGTCTTTGGCATCGTTCTTAACCCTATCATCAGCCACGGCATCCTCATTGGAAGAAATAAATCCCTTGAAAGTCTCAGCTTCTTTGGGAGTGGAAAGATCATCCATTTTCTTTCCATTGTTAGTAACTTCATCAAAAGGAAGACTTACCACCCTAAAAGAATCAATGAACCAAACAGGTTATGCACAGAAAATAATCATAGCAAAGTTTACACGAAGGAAAATGTACAGTGAAAAATAAGTTCGAAGGTAGAGGGACTGGAAACTAAATAAGAGTATCTGCCAAACCATCACTTCATTACCTTCCCGGTTCATTTATATCTAGAGGGTCACCCTCTTGCTTTGATTCAAGGCAAATTGCATTATCTTTTGCTAGATGCATCATCCCAGGCTCAAAACCCGACAGTACCACATCTGAACGCTGTAAGAACAAGATACATAAATACTTTCAATTATTGAAATAATAAATTTAAGATTTTCAAGATAATAAAGATGACAACAACTCATGTGAAAAAAAGGTGGAAACACTGAGCCAAAACTAAAAACACAAGCCTTCCACGTGATCTGAACTTATGACCATATTCCAGAAAAGGTAATCATTCAGTATAAGCATGAAATGGAACACATCAATCAATATCTGAAGTGTGCAATCAATGGGCCAAAAAAACCATCTTTGACTAGGTGAATAAAGCATACATTTTTACCAGGTGCCTCACGTCCAACTTCTGATATTGGCTCAAGCTCAGCAACATCTTCTTCAGCCTTAAACACAGATGGATGGTGCTTTTTCTTTAAACCATCATAGACACCTTTATCATTTTCCTTATTACCAACTTCTACTACATCAGCAGCATCTTCCTCATCAGACATAACTATATTCAGAGTTCTCCTGGCCTTAAATGCAGATAACGTGTAGCTGTCTTCATCTTCGCTTTCAGGCAAACAGTCATCCTCATTATCTGACACCAATTGGGGATTCTTCTTTTGTTGTTTGCCAGGACCCTTTCTGTGTTTTGGCTCAATATCATCTGGGATAAATTTATATGCCTTTTAACAACGGAAAGTCCATAAAAACTTACAACCCAGCTACAAAAGTATAAGTAAGACACCGATCGTTCCATATTTATAAAAGGAAATTGTGAAATCATATAATTGACTGTTACACTATCAGCACGCTCAGGATTGAAGCAATATGATGTCCTTGGCATTGTAGCTTAGTCCTAAATGATAACCACCATGTATATAAAGATTCAAAGCACACATTTGAAGGATCTAATCAAGATACTAGTTGTAAAAGCATGATATGTCCAAACAAACCTTTGCTGTTTAAGACAGGTGATTGTGGAGAAGCTTGTTGTTCGTCATCATTGATAAAACTGTCCTCGTATTTGTCTTCGTCGCTTCCATAACTGGATCCCTCTGTCTGGGTGTTCTCAATATCTACACCATATGATTCTCTACACACTTCGAATCAAGGAAGCAGCAAAATACTAGTATGTGTAATAGTGGAAGCATGCCAATGTAGCAGCACCTTCCATTCAAATAGTAGACATTATAATAACAAAAAAGCTAAGATATTAAAGAAGCTGCAATGGACTACCCCATCCCTACAATTTCTAATTCCCAAACATATTTTGTGATTGCATTAGACGATTCTAATAGGTCAACCTCTCGTGTAAAAATGAGTCTAATTGCTTATTAGAGACTTTAGTATGAAACTAATTGATTGAGACCTCTTTATGTAATGATGTTATGGTTAAATGTGCAACATTAGTACCAAGTTTTGGCACCAACAAGCTAACAGTGTCAATTGTAAACTTGACAACCTAACTAGCACATGCCAAAATCATTGCACCAAAAGACCTACTGTTATAGGCTATAGAAAACAACCTCTAGTAAAATGCAACGAGCCATCCGATGTATGAGATATTATTGGAGCATCCTAATTCCTATCGCTCCTACGAGTTCAGCATAGATCCAAGAATTACAACACATGTTGCACAACATGCCAAAGGGTCAGGAAAGAACTTTCTTTCAACCATATAAGGGATTTCCACAGGTATATATCAGGCAAGACCATTTAAAATGGTTCATAATTATGTGATTTGTTGTTTGATTTTCCAAGTTCTAATCATTACTAAAGTAGCTCTCAATTTTGAATCTAGTTTGGAATGGTCTCTCAATAAATTACATTCTTGCCTCCCCTGTAATATGTTGCATTATGGTGATAGTAGATGTGCTTTCCATATATAAACACTTCATATATCCACAAATCTTTTATGGCATGCTCCTTAGTAAAAAAGTACTTGGCCAAATGGTCACCAGATTTCATGTGTCACAGATCGCACGCTCTATTGTGAGGAATCACAATTTGGTTCTCAGTGTGCATTTTAATGCAAATTATCTATACTACAAGAATGTCCTTGTAGACTTTCTTGAGGTAACAGATGCTACCTTCAAGATCGAAGAGGTCCCAAGAAACAAGTGCCTTTCTTGCAGGTAATTCCTCAGGAAAGCAAATTCGGTTGTGTTCATGCAACCTTTCTTCTGAAGATGTCTTTAGACATCGCCAAGTTACAAGGATAGCCACCAAGCTTCCTTCTAGCAGACAAGGTTGTTTGGAAAGAAAAGGAAGTTGTTGTAAAGCTAATGCTAAGGTCATGAAAGGTACCAACTACCACCATATTATAATATAATTGGTTGTGTAACGAATTCACTTGGACTCATTTTAATCTAGTGAACTATTTATATTATAATTATGTCCCATGCCCACCCTATAACATTCTAGTTCATTGTTGCTCCGTCTACAACTTCATTGTTCTTGGCTTCAAAAAATTGGATGGAAGCCTCCAAGATGTTAGAAATGTTTTGCATATTGCAGAGCTCTGTGATGCACAGTGGCTGAAGGCTTAGTCAGAGATTGATTGTGAAGAGAGTAAGAAAAAGAAAACAACATGGTCCCACCACACAATTTTTTGATAGTGTGGAGGGGAGGGAAAAAAAATGACAACTTCTAATAGATTGGTGTCCAAGGATGAGAGGATTATATAAAAATGCAAAAGGAAGTAAATTCTTTCATAGACTTCTTCTTAAAGACTTTATCAAAGTCAACTTTCTGGACATGATAGGCTTGTTGACAAGCTTTTTCACATAGTTTAGTTACACCTTACATGAAAATAAAAGTATAAAACAAAATAATAAATATATATATCTTTACTTACTTTCAACATAAGAGAAGCGGGTATAAAGGATACGTATCGCTATGGGCATTCAAATGTGGAATCTGACGGACATAATACCCAGTGAGGTAGACACTCCGAGGACCAATAACAGAGAAAATAACATCATCAGCCTCTTCAAATTCCAAATCTAAATGACACGACTCCGTCTTGTCGGGCAACAATGCACAGAGCAAGACGGGAGCTCTTTTACCCACATTACATTGTACTACAGTTTTCTTCATAGCATCACCAATTCCATTTCCCAAAGTCGCCTAAGAACAGACACAGCCAATCAATTTAGCAACAAACAGCAATGTAATATATCAAATTCAATGCCAGAGCCAGATAAGATAAAAGAAAATCATTTGTATCTCCAAACCCTCAGTCATTTTCTACCAAATAACAGTTCCACTAGAAGACAGTGTGCTAAGATATCCATTACTTATTAGTTACAGACTCCCAAAGGATCACAATAAAAATAGACAGCATTATCCCCATTCAAATACAAAGTAGAATACGAGTACAAATCATATTATTAGTTTTATCAATTAGTTCAAATTAATACCTGGGAAATTCTAAGCCTTCCTCTAGCCTTCTCACAGGAATGAGTAATCGGCTTCCCGGGTTTAACCAAAATGCCTGAAACACAAGCATATATACAAACTTAAAAAACTCACATAAAAAAGTCGATTTTCATTACAGAAAAAAAAAAAAAAAAAAAAAAAAAAAAAACACACACACACACACAAACTCCCAGCCTCGAGCCATTGATTCTCCAGGAAAAGTTTACACTGCATAATATTGACATTATACCCAAGTAGCACCACAAAACATATGATCAGAAACGATCAAGCACTGGGTAAAAGAACTAACCCCAGAAAGCCATTCTAGTCGGAATTCCACACTTCCGATCGTCGCAAAATCGACGATCAGGAACAAAATGATAGCCGATCTCTCTTGACCCTCGCCTTACTTAAACCCTAATGTCGGAGCGAGCCAGAGACGCTTCAGTTCCTGAAAAACCCACTGGAGCGGTTGATAAAATTCCACTGCTTTTAAAGATATGTACATAACTTCTAAACCGTCCCTCAGCAAGCCCGTCTAGCTCAGTCGGTAGAGCGCAAGGCTCTTAACCTTGTGGTCGTGGGTTCGAGCCCCACGGTGGGCGAGTCTTAAATTTTCAGGAATTTTTTTAACAACCAGCGCTTTTTGAAAAAGCGTTCAATGCTAAAACCAGCCACAAGCGATTTTAGTTGTATAATTTCAAAGCTATATGAAATTACTCAAGTATCCTTCTCTTACTTTAAGGGTGTGTTTGTTCGAGGGATTTGTTTGGATTTCCACTATTCTATCCTATTTTTTTCCCAAAAATATCAAATCAAACACCTATTTTTTATTTTTTATATTATACTAAAAATTAATTTTACATTCAAAACATCTCATCAACACCTATTTATATCGCATCAAACAACTATTCAAATTCAAAATTTTTACTGTTCAAATCCCAATTCAAAATCCAAACCCTCAAACAAACACACAAATTTCCTTCTACACTATTTGCCTTAATTTTATTAGTAATATATATATATGTATACATTATTTCAAATTGCAATTTTTTGAGTCCCAAAATCCCAAAATCAACTCCAAATTAGGACAGATATGAAATTAGAGCTTGCAAAAGCTGATCCGACACGACAATTCGATAGACCCGACATGAAATAATTAGGTTTGGGTCAAAGATTGCAATCCGATTATGTATATGGATTGACACGAACCCGACACAATAATAAACGGTACGGGTTAGGTTTGAGACTCTTAACTCGAACCCGACACGACAACTCGATTATAATATATTAATATTGATTAATATATTTATTATATATGTAACATAATCATAATTTATTAATTTTCTCATAAATTAATTTAAACTAACTTTAATTTTAAATAATTCAACCTAATTTACGCTCAAACAAACGAAAATTAACATTAATACGACAACACAACAAAAAATTATTTAATTTGAATCAAAAAATTCGACTTAATTATGTAAATAAACGAGTTGAATTAGGATTGAGTAATTTAACCCGTTTAAAGTATTCAACCCGACACGAATGACCCATTGTCAGTTCTATATGAAATACAGCAAATTTCATAATTCGAAATTTATGGATGGATGTTTTTGGTATATTCATTTTCAATTATTCAATATATTTATATTTATTGCAATCTATCATAGTATGATAAGAAATTTTAGCAAACCAAAAAAATTCCTTAAAAGGACACTGAAATGTTCAATAAGTTAACAGCATAAAATCTGGTATACAACCATGTCTACTCCCAGACTATAAAGCACTAAGAGGAAATCAGAACTAACTCCCATCATAAACAACTCAAAATTTTTCTGAAGCTCCCAAAAGCTACAAACAAACTCTGTAGTCATCATCATGTATTTTTCCTCAGTTCAGTGAGTCAGTACCTCAATCCACGGCGTCATCGATTCCCGGCATTATCCCATCAGGATGAATGTAACTGTGGGGGTGCCCACAGCTTCACTTTCTTGTCTGTGCCGGCAGTGGCTAACATGATCGACTCTTTATTGTCTGCACGAAGAGATCGAGAACAATGCATCAGTTTCTGGGTATTGAATGGATATCAACTGAAATGAATGGGATGCGGGGTGGGGTGTGTGGTGTTACCCGATTGAATAGTTGTCGGCGACCACGCCATGTCTGTAATATCACCTGCATTTGTAGTTTGTTGTAAGATCGAGAAAGCAAATCCACCAGCCGTCACACAATGACTAGGGATGACAATAGGTCGGGGTCAGACCCGAGACCCGACTCGAACAATACCCGACCAAAACCCAATGGACCCGAAAATTTAAGACCCCTTTGGATTAACTTAAAAAATAAGCAGAAGTCAAAAGCAGGGCAGAAGTCAAAGTAGAAGCAGTTCAATTGATTTTGTGTTTGGACATGATGTAAATATAATTATATTTTTCTATAAAAATAATATATATTTTTAATTTTTTTTAATTATATGTAAATATTTTAAATAAAAGTATAGAAAATATATTTTTAAAATTTAATTATTTATATTTTAAACTTTTAATTTAAGGTAAATATATAAATTAAAAATAAAATTGCAATATAATAGGATTATTAAATTATTGGTAATTTTCAATTTATTTTAAAATTTTATAACTTATATTTTATAATTTTGTATAATTAAAAAAAATTATATACTTCTATCTCAATTATAATTTTAAATTTTAATTCAAATATAATATATAAAGTAAAAATATAATATATAAATTAATTATTTTTATAATATATTATATTATAGTATTGTATTTATTATTATTATTAAGGATAAAAGAGTAATTTTAGCTGAAAAATACTTCTGCTTGTTTCAGAAACTACTCTTAATGTGCTTTTAAAAAAAGTTACTTTTCAGCCTAAAAAATTTCTTCTACTTTTGGACAGAAGCCAATACAAACAGGTACAAAGTGCTTTTTTTTTAGAAGCACAGACCAAAAGAAGCTGCCAGAAGTCCATCCAAACGGAGTCTTAATTACAATTCTTAAAATTTAACTTCAAATTATACTCGAATACGGATCCACACCCGATATATATTAAAATTTATGTTTTTATTTAAAAATATTATAATAAAATAATTAATTAATTAAACTAGAAATATATTTTTAATATAATAAATTGACATATTATTAATATATTAATCGGGTTCGGGTAGGATCCACCCTTAGACCCGATACCCGAACAATTGGACCCGACCCCAAATAAATGGGTCGCATCCGGGTCGGGTCTACCCGGACCCTGCCATCCTAACAAGAGCGACGAACAAAGAGGTCGACAGGAATTTTGTATAAATTGGGTTTAGCATGATCTTAGCACAGTTGCATGATAGCAGATGAAAATGGCTTCCCCTAACAGAACTAGGCGAGAAATGAATTATAACGAAAATTATGATATTTAAAGGAAATGTGGAAAATAAGTTTTTACCTTCATGGGCTTTCTCAGCAGTGTCTAAAACCTGTCCGGTCTCAGTACACAGCCACTGCAACGTAGAGCCGTGAGTTGCTGCCAGGATCTTTCCATCAGGAGAGAGACTAAGACGGTCATAGTGTAAAGTAGTCCCCTTTGCATCATGGAGTGGAATCGGGAACACCTTCAGTGTCTTAGGATCCTCATCTAGATGGTATCGAACTTCAACAAGAAAAGCTTAAGGTGAGCAAAATCTAGGTATAGTTACAAGTAACAACAGCAAGAAACTGAAATGAATCAACTGATGTAACATATTGCGGTGTTGGTAGAGGCATCTCACGTGCAGTGATACAAAATCACTGACTTGTGAGATATGTAAATTGTTCGAAAGAATTCACCTTTCTCAGGTATTAAATAACTAATCAAAAGAGTATTATTAATAAAGTTATGAACTTTTCGTACCGTTGATATTCCATTTTCTTATCGAGCCATCCTTGGAGGCTGTGATGATTTGTTCGGAGTTCGGATCAAAGCAAAGCCATGTCACTGCACTCTGAACATCGTCAAACCATCATAAAGAATGGGAATTGATTAGAACACGGTGGGGATTGAAGATTGAAGGTATATAAAGACATAGAGAATTTGAGCTAAGGATGTTTCTCTCATCGAAAGTCTTTAAATGTAAGAAGAACAAACAATGAATGTAATGCATGTGCGATAATTGAATTTCTACACTCACCAACAAACAATGCGTATTATGTCAAAACAAAAAATTGGACGTGATGCTAAACTTAAGAGAAGTTGAGGTGGAAACAGTAACAAGATAAAACCTTATGTTTAGGATTCAGTATAAATCAATTCTGTCACGATTGAAAATTGGCAGAACCTTATGTTTAGATCAAATTCTCATAGGTTTACAATAAGACATGACTTCGCATAGAACGACAAGCTCAAATTCTAGATAGCATGCAAGTACTACCTTGTGACCTTTGAGCTGCATAACCCTTGCAATCTCCTTCACTGAGCCATCCTTCGAATACACGACTTCCCAGACCTGTGAAACAAAAGTTATATAAGTAGATTAATATGGACTGTTATCATAAAAGCTCAGAATTCGATGGAAACACATACAATTAGAACAAGAGAAACAACTAAGTGTGGTTGGTGTGGAAGCTATCCCCATGTGTGTAATCTTCATTGAATACTTTCATTACGGAATTAGATTAATAGCGGGGACGGATGACTAAGATTAGGACAAGCATCATCAAGAAAATCTTTTGGAAAACTTATGAGGGCAATATGGTTCTTCTGGAGACCTGGAATAGTATAATACATATAGGCAATTTTATATTATTAGATCCGCTTCAGGAGACATATAATGCATTCTCATATTTTGTATTCAGCATTCACTTCTGACAGCCTCTTCCTCCATGGTGATTAGGTTCACTGATAGACAATTTCATCGGAAGCATCAATTTCCCACAATCTGAAACATATTCATTCACAGAGAACCAAATTCTTTTCTGAGCATGCATTTCTAAAGAAACGGAAATCTAGACCAATTCTAATAAAAGTTTATGTTCAATTCCAAGCTTAAAAAATCATGAATGGCCATAGAATCACAGCAAGTCTTCTTAGACAGACAAAGTAAATCAAACCAATTGAAACAGCACCTTCACATCAGCAGTAAATGCAGCTGCGGCAATGAACCGACCATTCGGAGATATGGTCGCCATTGTATTTTTGAGCTGATTTGTGTCGACATGTCCCAACATCTTCCCAGTTTTTCCATGCCAGAGTATAATATCAGTGCCTGACAATGAACAAGTGAACTGTATGGTGAGAATGTACTTCCTTACCAAATTTTCTTATCCATCCATAATTCCGCACAATGAAATAAATAAAAGGATGAGTAGACAATATTCGTAAAACTGTTTGTTGGTAGGAGACCATTACGATAGTAAATATAAGAAATAGAGATAAATAAGCATTCTCAACTTATTGAAGGGAATCAGCCCACTAAACTTAGAAAACTCTTTCTAACAAGTGTACACAGATTTAAACCAATTGTGGTGTCCAGAAGGAAGACATGCTGTCGCAAAAACAATGAAAATCATTAAGGTAAGCCTTTATCAGCTTATCCAACAATTTGAAGTCAGCTACAAAAACATTGAGTATAGAAATTGAAGGTGAAAAGACACCGCAAGTGCACCCACAGTACTTATAAAGAAAATTAAAAGTCTGAGGTATGTAGGAAATCACATTTTCTAAACTCTACCAATCGCATGGCTGGATAATGAATCCAAGCAACTACATAAATATATATAGATACATATATAGAGATCAATCCTTAATTCGCTAATTATCTGAATTATTTACATTTATTATCAAGTGTAACATTATAATTACGAGAGTTCATGTAAGATTAACAATGCTGAGCCTCTGTACGATGACAGCCATCATACTAATATACCAAAGACCATCTTTGCAGTACATTTGCATAGAATAGTTATTTACACATGAGTTACGAAAAACATAATAACAGCATAACTAGAAATTTGTGTGAGTAAGCTTAAAGCTCACAAAAGAATTGGTTATATCAGGCATCATAGAATACCTTCAGAGCATGATGCGATGAGTGTGCTTCCATCTGCGCTGCCATAAGTTGCCTTGGTCCCAACCAGAGTTATGATGGCCCTCTTATCATGAACTTTATGATGCTCCCATTTAATTTCAGGGAGAGGAGGTTTGCTCTGCTGCTTCTGTTCGCTTGTTGGTTTGGGTTTTTCTTCTCCATACATATATAGAGATGATCCGGATAAAGCCTGGGAAGCAACTAGTATCGATGATGCATCACCAACAAAAGCAACTGCTGTTGGATGGCCTCCAGCAGGTAAGTTTATTCTCAGGAACCTGAAAATATATTCTTAGATTACTTTTCAGAAATAAGAATGGTTGCAATAATTGATTTGAGATGGACAGAAATTTGAGTTAGTACTTGAAGCTTTTGCTTGAAGCATCATCCAACCTAAAAACCCTGACAACACCATCTCCACAAGCTGCATAAACAAGATATATTAAGAGCTTGCCGATCAAAAATAAAAAGATATATTACGATTTACTTGATTTCAATAATGATAAGAGCTTGATCGGAGTAATGAGATTAACAAGGACCATAAATGAAGAAGCTGGAGAGAATAACCCCACATTCAGAACAAAAATGTAAAACACAAACTAGATTAATAGTGTTATAAAAGGAATCAATAGACAGATGGCAATAACAAGCTACCGATCATGTACATTATACATAAAGTCGCGATATTTAAATGAATAGAACAACAGGACCATCCACATGACGACAAATGGAATACCATTGTAAATCAAATGAACGTAATCCAGACCAACAACCAAATATTAAGAATCTCCAGAACAACATAAGCTAAACTAAAGTTAGAATAGTATCAGTTTCCATGTCCTGAACAGTAAATATCACATAAAGAGGTTGAATAAAAAACAAGCAATCATTATGAAATTACATGAAATGGGACAACAACCTAGTCATACAAACTATGAACAATTAGTCCTCCAACAAGTTCATAGTTCTTATTAACACCAAAGAAACAAAAAAGTTGTTATCATAAAAATGATCTTCACATCATAAATAAACAATCAAAAATCTATTTAAGCTATCAACCTCTGCACTAGCAAATCCAAGCCAAAAGTAACTTTAAGTACAACAAACATTATTGAATTTTGTTCAAAACTAAAATAAAATGACTTGAATGGAGACAACAACACACAAATTAATGAACAGAAATTTACCAGTTGCTAAGCTACGTGCATCTGGCGAGAAACATAGACCAGTGACCTCATCGCCATGGCCTTTCAAAGTATTCACGTCCAAAGGATGGTGCTTCTTATTAGCATCCTGCAATTCCACAGCAAAAACACATCGAATAATCAAAATTACCTAAACCCTAACCCCTGCAACAAATCAGACCACAAAATAAACGCCACAAGAAATCGGATCGTTACTTTATCCCCCGCATTAGAATGCGAGTGCGATTTGTGCTGCGATTTCTTCCCACCCGGCTGCTTCAAAATGGACTTGGGGTTCGGCTTGAGGGTTTCTGGCCTGGCGATGGATTGGATTTCCGACTTTCTTTTCCGGAAATAGCTCCCGAATATAACGAACGCGATCAGAGCTCCGGCGATCACTGAGAATCCGATAATTGGGAGAAATGCCTCCATTTTGGGAATCCTTAAAGTTTAACTGCGGGGAAATTTTGCCGACGATTTGAAGCGCTTCTTCTGTTACTGTCCGATGGAAAAGCTGCTAGAGCGTTGGGGAGACGACAGCTATATGAGATTTCAATTTGTTTTTTCCCTGCGTGGCGCAATCTGCAGTTTCGTCCAGTTTGTACTGATATCGCAGCGATTTACTCATACTGGAATTTGACGATGACGATGAACTCAACGTGGGCTGCTGGGTTGGGCCACTGTATGTAGATAGAATTGGAACTTTTATTTTATTTAAATTGATTATATAGGCTTCGTTTATACAAAATTATTGGAATTTCACATTATTTACTTTTTAAAAAATAATATTATATAAATATATAGTTTTTTACATCAAATATTATTATTTTTTATTTTTAAATTTTTCAAAAATTCTAAAATCATTAATTATCAAAAGAGAGTCATACATCATTTAGTTTCATCAAATCATTTGTTGCATTTATTTTTGTTTATCTGTTCATCTTTAGTTAAATTTTGATATTTGTGCTGATGTAAAATAGACTCATATTATTATATAGATTTTAAATTAAAATTATTTTCTTTTTTTAACTAAAATTTATTTGAATTAATTAGAAAAAATGTAACAAAGACAAACCATGTGTGTGGACAGTCACAAGTCCAATTCCTACACCACTAGGTAATTCCTTACGGGACATGTTTAGAGAATTTTTATGTGTATTAATTTGATGGTAATGAATATAATAATATAAATGTGTATTAATTTGTATAATTTGATTATAAATTTATTATATATATATTTATAAATTTTTATTTATTTGTATTATAAAAAATTTTATTCTCAAATTTTTTATTTGGTTATTGATGCATGGAAAATTGCTTACGAATGTGCAACGGTATAAAAGGAAAATGACGTTGGATGAGCTATGCCATCGATGTGGGATGAAGAAAACAACATTACATGCTATTCGTGACTGTCCTCATGTGCAACAAATTTGGATAGATTTACTTCATCAAAGACACCATGAAAATGTCTTTGCACACCGATCGGAAAAAATGGATATCTAATTTTTTGATTGAAAAATATGGAAAAGATCTATTGTACCTAGTCCCTGTTGCTGCCTGGCATATTTGGAAATATCCAAATGAAAAAATATTTGTTCAACGCATCTTTGATCGTCATCAACTGAAGCATGAGATACTTTTACAACTGGCGACTATTTCGGCGGCTTGGAGCCCTAATGTTGTTCGAACAAAAATTCATCGACAAATTACTCAAATTGCATGGAAAAAACCACCGTTCAGCTGGATAAAGTGTAATACAGATAGTGCCTTCAAACATGGAACTACAACTGGAACGGGTGTTCTACAAGATGATACGGGTGCTTGGCAAGGTGGGTTTTATTTCAATAAGGGAATAGGTTCAGTTCTTACTGTTGAGTTGTTCGCTATTTGGCATGGTCTTGAATTGGCCTATGAGAAGAATATCCCAAGACTGATTTTGGAGTCGAATAGTAAAATTGGGATTCACCTTAATTCACCAATGGAACAGGTAGGAGTATACGGTCACATTGTTCATAAAATCAGAAATCGAATGACAGAAAATTGGGAAATCCGACTACAACATACTTACCGGGAAGCCAACTTGATTGCGGATCGTCTAGCTCATTTTGCAATGACACAAAAAACTGGCATAACCCACTTTGTTAGACCACCAGAGGAGATTGGACAATGGCTTCTTCATGATGTATTAGGAATCTCGTATGATCGAGAGATTTAAACTTAGGTAAATATATTACCTCCTTGTCTGTGTTTCCAAAAAAAAAAAAGTATTTATTCTTTACAAAATGACATATATATTGTATATATTTTATTCAATTATAATTTTTATTATTTTTTATTATAATTTAAAAAAAAAACTAAAAACTAAAAAAAGAAGAAAAAAAAAAAAGAATAACAGACACAGTCATACCTTGTCCCCCAAAAACCGTGCAGCCCGAAGTTTGGGCAGAAACACTGTGCAAACACACATCCTCTATTAATATTTTTTAATCCAAACTTTCAAATTTCCATCCAAGCTATTATGGGTATATTTGTTTGGGGATTTGAATTTTGAGTTAAAATTTGAATAGTAAAAATTTTGAATTATAATAATTGTATGATGCGACATATATACATATTGATGTGTTATTTTGAATATAAAATTAATTTTTAATATAATATAAAAAATAAATATATTTGATTTAATGTTTTAAAAAAAAAACTTATGAATAATAAATTTTTTTTGGAAATATCCGCCAAACAAACATACCCTATATTTCAATTATTTAATTTCCTAAGCTATTACATGATTCGACATTGAGTAGCTAGGATTTGATTTGCTCTCTACTTGTGTAAAGTTAAATTTCAATTTATAGCGAATATTGAAAAATCAAAATTCTTCAACAAACGCTTTATGGTTGACGCTCGATTGTTTGTTTGGTATATTCTTTTGTCCAACTTGGTATCGTATACCTCTGCTTACTTTTGCGGGAGGAAAGGGGTTGTTAATCGTTTTGTGAAGAGATTCAGGGCCGGTGTGTCGTGTGTTTATGGCGATTTGGGTATATTGATGTTTCTAATATGTGATTTTTTATTGTTGAGTGCTTTAGAGGCTGAGTCTCCAATCCTTTTGTTAACTCGGGGAGATTGTGAGATGTTAAATGAAATTCTTTTATAATTTGGTTTTCCAATTGTGTTTTATTTGATTTGTAAAGAAGTTCGTTAATCAATCCTAAAATTCCACAACAATAATAACACTATCTTTATAATCTCTTTGCACTCTATTTTGATTCCACCAACTTAAATATAATATTTATTACTTGTTCTTTTATGACAACAAAAGTTCTTAGTTATTTCACAAATATGAATTTAAGGTCAATGTTAATGTATGCAATCTAATACTTAGATTCAATTATGATAATCATAAATTATATAATTATACAGTTTATTATCACATACTTAAATTCATAATTTTTTAGATAAAATAAATTTAAGTTTAGGACATTTTTTAGTAGAAAAAAAAAAAGATTTAATTCTACATAAATTAGATATGATTTGTACTATTTCTATTGGTTATAAAAGCACAATCAAAATACTCAGCAAAATAAGTACAAATATCATAAAATAATAATAATAATAAATCATTGGTATGACATAAAGTCTTTAATATTTAAATAATTTGAATTGTAATTAATTTTAATATAATTATATATAAAACAAACAATCAACCTCCTGAAGATTTAAAGATTTATTTTGATGACATATAATATACAAAAAAAATTAATAAAAACTAAATGTATGAAACAATTCAATTAATTTAATAATAGGATATTATAGTTTGCCGACAAAATCAAATATTAAATATTGATTATTTTGATTTTGCTCGAAATTTTAATATTGTATTACAAAATTAAGAATGTAATCAAAATTAAAGTTGTACAAATATGATTACTCAAATATAGTGTTAATAAACATGCTTTAATTAGTGATTTTGATAATACATTTCACAATCTTATTTTTCATAAATGATTTTGTTTGTATTACAAGATTTAAAACTTCAAATAATAAAATAAATCTAAAATATACATAATATATGATTGTATGAGAATTGAAATATGAAAAATTAACACATATTGTGTTACACTTGAGGCTCGGTGTATTTTTTCTTCTTCTCAAAACTTTCTCTATATTATTTTTAAGTCTTTTTCCGAAATAAATTTTGTTTTAACTTTATTATAATAAAATTTATTCGTGTTTCTTCACTATTGTAGATGCCTTCTTTTCTTTAAAGTTAATTTATTCAAGATTGAATTTTCACGAAAAAGATTCTTAAACTATTGAAAATTTTCATCTATCACTTCATACATTTGAGATTATCTTTTTACTATTTGTTTTTCTTAGTTGTTCTTGTAAGAAGTTGAATGATATTATATTATACAAATTTCTATATTATATTTTCTACAATACTTTTAAATCCAAAATATTAACAAGTCTATATTATGATGTGTCGTCGCAATCTGAAAATCTTTAAACATTCATTTTTCTTGTCCATAATCCTAATATATATAAATGTGAAGTTTCAACAAAATTATGTATAATAAAAAACTTGAAGACATGAGAAATAATATTCCAAACAATTCAAAATTTCTACATATACAATGTATCGTGCAATTAAAAAATTGATCTGTGACTCCGATAAAAAAAAAAAAAAAAAATCATAAGTGACAACATGATATTTTGCTATTTCAAAAAGTTTAACATGGTAAATTTAACTATTTCAATCGTGCTAAAAATATGAAAGTTACAACCATAATCACTGTACAATTTCTTTTGACACTATTTATAATAGTTTCAGAGTCTAAATAAGTATTGTATATTTTACCAATATAATTGAATAACAAAAGATGATTAAAAAGTATTTATATTTGTTCTAAAATTAGTTTTTAACTCTTCACAACAATTATTATCAATCAAAAATTTGAAAGTATTTAAAGAATTGCACTACAAAAGATTTAATTTGTTATAAATATTAGTAACGGATTTTAAACTGTCATTAATTGGGACCACAACAAAAGACGTGTCTTCATATAAATATATGCAGACGGATATTAGTGACAAAATAAATTCGTCATTTGTGGCGAATATTATCGATATTTTCATGAATCTTAACGTGTCATTGTCGTATATTTCATGACTATGTGTCCGTCACTATATTTCTATAATTTATCATTATTAGAAAATTATGAAATTGTTGTGAAAGTATACATTGTCACACCGTTTATAATGAATTTATTAAAAATTTTAGATATAATTTAATTATTACATAATTCTACAACGATAATTATTACAATAAAAATATAATATTTTCTTTTGGAAAGCTGCAGGAAATGATTGGCTGATTTTTTAATTTTATAAGTTTTTTGTGGCTTTCCATAATAATATTTTTAAATAAAACAATTATAATATTGTTGCGGTAATCGGCAACAATATATTTATTTTTTTAATTTGTTGATTTCTATGTTGAATAATAAATATTTGTTGCGACTTTTAACAACATGTTTTCATTTTTATTTTTTGAATTAATAAAAAAAATTATAAAATTTATAATTTTTTTTTTTTGCAATTATACTCTATAATATTTACACAAGTAACACACCTAATTT